CACCCCGACGGATCCCGAGCCCGGGGCCTGAGGCTGGAGCTGCCGAGCGATCGCCTCCTCAAGTTCCTCACCGTGGGGCTGCCCCTCTGCCTCGCTTCCCTGGACTTCGCCCAGGAGTTCTCCACCGGTGAGCAGCATGAGGAGATGCCCGGGATGGGAGTCGTGGTTGGGATTTTATCCTTCACGGATTCCACGAATCCTCAAGGATTCGACTTCGGGGAAGAATCCACGCTGGGAAAAGTGGTTTCAAAGGAAAAGGGGTTTTTTTTTTGGATCCCGAGGGAGGTTTTGAGCTGTTCTCCTGCCCTGGGAGACATCTGCCGCCTTCTCCTCGCTCCAGGTTCTCGCATCAGCTGCTTCTCTCCCACCAACTTCACCGGGAAGCAGGCGGCCTACGTGGACGCGGCGTGTTGGGACACCCTGACCCACCACGGGCTGGACGCCGAGGGCCGTCCCGTCACCACCTCCCTCTGGGCTCTCAAGGTAGGTCTCCGACTCCACCACCCCACCGCCGGGCGCCGTCAGAGCTCCCTGAAGTTCCTCCTGGAGGTCTGCCGGTCTTCCTCCACCCAGGTGTTCCCCTACTCGCTGGTGGTGGTGGCGGGGCTGATGTACCTGCCCTGCCTGCTCTGGAGACACGGCGCCGTCCCCGCCCTCCGTGCCGACCTCCTCTTCATCATCAGCGAGCTGGACAAGTCCTACAACCGCTCCATCCGCCTGGTGCAGCACATGAGGAAGGTCCACCAGGACAGCGCCGAGCCAGAGAGGTTCTGGGAGGAGTACCAGAGGTGCTTCACCGCTCCCCGGGGTCTTCAAAAGGCCGTGGTGGTGGCCACGCTCAGGAGAAGGGGTTGGAGGGGTGGCTTCAGGTCCTCAGTGTGTCCCCTCTGTCCCCAGGGCTCGCCGGGAGAGGTATTTCGAGTTCCCGCTGCTGGAGCGTTACCTGGCCTGCAAGCAGCGTGCCCACTCCCTGGTGGTCATCTACATCCTGAGGAACCTGCTCCTGCTCTGCTTCTTGGCCGCCACCTGCCTTTACCTGGTCTTCCTCCACCTCAACGTCTTCTTCCAGGATGAATTCAGCTGCTCCATCAAAACGGGCCTGCTCCAAGAGGAACCCCACATCCCCCCTCTCATCCCTTGCAAGCTGGTGCTCTTCTCCATCTTCCAGCTCATCAGCGCTTCGGTCGGCGGCGTCTACGTCCTCCTGGTCCCCGTGGTCATCTACAACGCCCTGCAGCTCTGCCAGTGGGACAAGGGGCTGCTCTCCATCTACGAGATGCTCCCGGCCTTCGACCTCCTCCGCAGGAAGATGCTCCCCTGCCCCGTCAACGACCTCAACGTCATCCTCCTCTTCCTGCGGGCCAACATCTCCAAGCTCACCTCCTTCGGTCCCCTCAACGCCGTGGGAGCTCTGAGGGAAGCCACCCACGGCGAGCGGGACATCGACACCGTCGTCGACTTCATGACCCTCTTGGCCGGCTTGGAGACCACCAAACCCAAAGCCTTCGAAGAGCCCCTCGCCAACGGCGCCTCTCCAGGTAGGTGTTTGAGGTAGGGATGGAAGTTCGACCTTCTCTTCTTGCTTCTTGAATCCCCACCTTGGGCCCGAGGTCCCAGTTTGACCAGTTCCATGAGATCTTCTCCCCCTTCCTCTAGACATGAAGCCTGGAGTGGAAGAGCTGGGAGAAGCTTCCCGGGACCACGTCGTGTCCATGCCACCCAAACTTCCCTGCGGGGACTGCAGGAAACGGGGAGCAGAGGACTAAGGGATGGTCCTCAGGAGGAGAAAAGAGGACCTAAGAATAAAATCACCCGGTTATTAATCACTTATTAACGATTTATTAACGATTTCTGACCCCAGGCTGTGCCCCGACAGCTTGGGAGGTTCTCAGGGGTTCAAGACCACCAGGGCAGTGGTGGAGTCCCCATCCCTGGTGGGCTTTCCAAGCCATGGAGATGTGGTGCTGAGGGACACGGGGCAGTGGGGACCTCGGTGAATGGATGGACTCGAAGGTCTCAAAAGGTCCAAGCTGAAAGGTCTCTTCCAACCCTCCTCAGCTTGGTGCTGCTCCTCGCTCCCCGCCTCCAACGCCCACGACACAGGGCTGGGGAAGTGAATTTTGGAAGCTCTCCACCAGCAGAAGCTCTTCCCGCTTCCAGCAGCTCCAGGGTTAAAGAGAAAATGGGGAAGAGAAGTGAGGAACTGGGATTCCAGGAGCAGCTTGAGGTTGGTGACACCGAGATGTCTCCAGCTAATTTTAGAGGTGCTGAATCGAGGTGTAAAAATCTTCTCCTGGAGCTGAGCGTGGAGTTCTTGGCCTGGTTGTAGCCACATCCTGCAGCTTTCCCTCTGGTTGATCCCTCACAAGATGTCTCCAGAGTGTGGAGAAGACCTTCCATGAGCTTCTCCACCTAAAAAAAAAAACCCAAAAGGTGAAGAGCCACCCTGTGACTCAGTGACTTCAGGGTAGAGAATGAGGCCACCAGCTTTTGGAGAAGCCTCCAAGCCCTCCAGGAGGGCTCTGCTGGTGTAGAGTTGATGTCCCTCAAGGCGTTGAGGTCCCACTGAGGTCCTTCCAGGTGGAGACATCAACCCCAAGAAGTTCTGGAGATGGTTTGGAGGGGGAGAGGACCTAAATCACCAGCCCCCAACACCCCCTCCAAGAAGCAAAACCAAAACCATGACAAAAAGGGGTTCCAGGGGCAACAAAGTGGGTCTGGGGGGAGGGGTTCCTGGAGTATCAAAGTGGATTTTGGGGGCTCCAAAGGGGTATCAAAGTGGAGTTGGGGGCTCCAGAGGCAGCCAAGAGGTTCTGGGGGGACTTCAAGGGGCATCCAACTGGGTCTGGTGGGGGGTCCAGGGGCATCAAGGTGGCTCTAGGGGTGGTTCCAGGGGTATTAAAATGGGTCTGGAGGAGCTCCAGGGTTATCAAGGCAGATCGGGGGGGGCTGCAGGGGTATCAGGGTGGATCTTAGGGGGGTTTCAGGGGTATCAAGGGTGGTCTAGGGGTCAATCAAGGGGCATCAGGGTGGGTCCAGGGGCCTCAAAGTGGATCTGAGG